TATATATATATATATATATATATATATATATATATATATATATATATATAGTTCGCAGTCTAGGGGGGCGATTCGAACTGCAATAGAAGAACAATGGCATATAAAGATATACAATTTTCTATCCATGTTTGTGTAATTGAAATAGAAAATAAAAAATTAGTTCAATCATGTGGAATGCTGTTCTGTTTTCTTGAGACGCCCGTTGAAAAAAAAAACGCTGCAAAGTAAGCTAGGTCGTTGTACAATATGAAAACATAGTGGTATGATGTTCTCTTCATACTTCAAGAGCGAATAATCGAGGGTCGACCATAATGATAACTTGTGTGAATCAAGTGCCGAAACAGCTTATTTAGTGCATATGACTAGCCGCGAATGCATGCGCGACGAGAACAACTGTTCCGACACAACCGGAATCGAATCCGTTAGCTCGTAGAATAATAATCGACCAGCACAGTCGCCTAAAAGAAAATCGGGGGCTATGCACATAACCTCCTTCGAAAAGTCATCGGAGGCTATTTATGTAAAAAAAACAGAAGTGTCCTCTACTAGAGAGAGAGAGCTAGTAGCTTAACAAAAGAGCGGTGACTCTTTTAGTGAGAAGTTGAGAACCCAGTTTGTATGTACCCCACCGAGTCATTCTAAATATACACATTCACGCATCACGCAGCGGCCCAGCTGGGAATGTCCGATCTGCAGTGGATACTGGATAGTGATAACTGATACTGTCCTTACTGGATAGCGGATATCTGCATAGATAGAGTGATAGTGAATGTGAACAACGCGCATGCTGATGGAGCGATTTTCGGATTAAAAACTAGGTTTTGGAACGTGCCTTCGCAACAATTTTTAACCCACTTCTTTATACGCGGCAAAATAATTTTCTGAGACTATTTTGTTTCAATTTAGAACGCTATGCTATTTTTAGTATATTTGTGTTCAATTTTCAAGTTATGATATTTGAATGATATTATGGACCAATCAAACAGAAGTTGCTAATTAGCATGTCTCAGAAATTCTGTTATATCACATCATATGTACTGATATGCATCATAGTGATCATACATCCTTTGACATACCCTGGAGTCCTGGACCCCACGGGAGTCCTAAAAAGACCTGAATCCGAAAGATCGAGAGGTAGCCGCTACCAGTAGTAGAGCCGACTGCTGAGAGGCATGGTGAAATAAGGAATTATTTTATATGTAAATACTACTAACAATACTATCTGTAGTTTGGGCTGTCATGACAGTGTCATCAGCGTAATAAAAGTTAAAAAACAATATACATAATCTCCTCGTCCACGGAACAAATAATAAATGTACAGTAACGAAATGTCAACTTCTCCAAATTTGGTCTCAATATAAAAGCCTTTGGCAGTCCTTTGTGGCAGGCACTATTGTGATATTGTTGTCAACTGCTTTATCAACATATTCAATCACAAATAGACTGAATTATACTATTTAACTGTATACTGTATACTATACAATTGTATCAGCAACCATGAACAACCCAAGAAGAAGGAAAGACTCGGTGGACTTCTCATCCCCACTCCACGACGATGTTGAATACCTCTGCGATACACTTCTCACTTTGATCGAGAAGCACTCTGATCAAGAGACCTTATTGACACTTAAAACAGTTCTGGAACTATCCAAGGCGTACGACCAATATTTCAACAACCCACAGAACTTCACTACACTTGCCGCAAAGGTAGAGTCCCTAAACGCATACCAACTCTGTTGTGTGGGCTCTCTTTTCAGCAACATGTGCAACCTGGCCAATCTCTCCGAGTACGTACACCGTATCAGACGGAGAAAGGCATACGAGCTTGGCGAAGGTACCTCTTTCCTGTCACACGTGTCCCTGGACGAAGTCACTAAAGACCTCGTGAAAGCTGGAAAGACGCATGCGGAAATTCGTGAGCAACTAGCAAGCCAGACTGTGGATATGGTACTGACGGCACATCCCACACAGGCTATCAGACGGTCACTTTTAGCGAAGCTGCATGAAATCGCAAGACTTTTGGAGCTGTCCCACGAGCCCAGACTTACGCCTGCGCAAACTGAAGATGTGAACGAGCGACTTCTTATGAACCTAGAGGCCTTGTGGCGCACCGACGAGGTAAGTGTATACCTATCTTGTAAATGGGTCTTGTATGTATGCTAATCGTCGTTTTCGATGTGAGCTTATGGTGAGGCAAGACCATGTCTTTTATGTCATTCAATCATTTTATTGTTTATATCGCACGTTTTATAGATGCCTCGTGATTATTGTTGTGCATATGGGTCTTATCGTACACAATTGAATTTCTCTTTGGTTCGATTGTGTGATGAGTAGGCAGAATGTATGAGTGTTATTTCAATCTAAGAAGTTGAGGTAAGAGGATATTACCGAATTCCGAGGCAGAGATTGTTGACAGACTTCTATTCAAGCACATCCACTCACGTACATTTGTCATCTTCTCGATCATTAATTACAGGTACGTCGAGGTAAACCCAAGCCTGAAGATGAGGCCCGTAACATCACACAGGTCATCGAAGACACGGTTTGGGATGCCGCACCGGCTTACGTGAAGAGTATCAACAGATACCTTAAATCAGTAGATCAGGATCCATTGCCTCTTGACTCGACACCGTTCGTGTTCTCGTCGTGGGCTGGTGGAGATAGAGACGGCAATCCGTTTGTCACTCAGAGTGTGACTCGGGAGGTGGTGGCTATAAATAGATACAGAGCATGCACAATGTATCTGGTCGAGATCGAACGTCTACTGTTTGAACTCTCAGTCTCTGAGGGGTCTGACGAGCTGTTGGCTTACAACGAGCGCGTGGTCGCTGCCACAGCTGCAGGTACGAATATATGCACGCCCGACTGGTCCCAGACGATTATGATACTATAATTTATGTTCACGCGTACAAGTCTATTCAAAGTAGGGATTGTGTGATAGCTTAGGTGTGTTATGTTCTACGGATACGGTGTATGCTTTCCCACACCACCTAACGGCTTGTTTACGATGCACTCTTCACGCTGATTGCTTACACGGTCCCTTTCACACACCGCCATCCACCCAATACAGCGTCACAGCCCAAGAAGATGAACATGAAGTACAAGGAGTTCTGGAACCACGTGCCCCACACCGAACCCTACCGTGTATGTCTGCACGAGGTCCGTGATCGCATGAACAACACGCGTATATGCGCCGAAGCCGAGCTGAACGGAGACGGCAAGTTCCCCCCCGACAACTACGACGAGCCTATCTACACACTCAAAGCACAGCTCCTAGAACCGCTAGAGCTCATGTACCGCTCGCTGCACAGCACCGGAGACGGTCGCCTGGCTGAGGCCCGACTGCTGGACCTGATCCGCCGAGTGCACATGTTTGGCCTGACGCTGGTGAAACTGGATATCCGCCAGGACGCGGCAGAGCACGCGCTAGCCATGAACTACATCACCGAGCACGCGGAGATGGGCACCTATACCGACTGGGATGAGGCCACGCGTGTGTCGTTCCTCACGGAGATGCTGTCCAGCAGACGGCCGATCTTGGCGCACTGCCACAGGGCCGCAGCGAACGCTAAGAATGTACTGGACACCTTCGCGTGTGTGGCGGATATTGGAACGGAGCCGCTGGGTGCGTATGTGATCTCCATGTGTATGAAGCCCTCGGATGTGCTTGCGGTGGAGCTTCTGCAGCGTGAACACGCCCGTTACCATGACGACGACACCCTGCGCGTGGTTCCTTTGCTGGAGACTATCGGTGCCCTGAACGACTCGTACGAGATGCTGACTGTGCTGTTTGAGAACAAGTGGTACAGAGAGCACCTGCGCACGCGCTTCAACTCTGTGCAGGAAGTGATGGTGGGCTATTCGGATTCCATGAAGGATGGCTCGCGCTTCACCTCTGCGTGGGAGCTATACAAAGCACAGGAGGTGATGGCCAGCATTGCACAGAAACACAACGTGACGCTGAGATTCTTCCACGGTCGAGGTGTGTGAGTGTGTGTATGCAGCTAGAGGTACTTTTTGGGGGTTTCGATTATGGTGTGTATGCCTTGGCGTATATCGCACCAAAGTTTTGCGCGTTGTAAATGCAAGTGAGTCCATCTGCTGTTAGTATTGAGCATTTTGTATCTCAACCGATAATATATATATATATATATATATATATATATATATAGTAGTTAGTTTAATTTATTATAGTAGTAGTA